CTTCTATCAGACTGAAATGAAACACTCAGACTATATATATATATATATATAAGCTGTAAAACCTAAGAAAGGTAGTTTTGGCTTCAAAACCTGAAATATCCAGCATTAAAGTCTGTTGGTGATTTTGGGTATTGTCACATATGATAGGCATTGACTGCTTCAACAAAAATGTTTTACAAAGACAAATTTCTGTTGCGTATTATTTTCTGAAAGGAAAAATTCTTCTTTACAAAAACAGCTTAAATAAGAAATATGAAAATTAGTGACCTGACTCCAAATACAATTTGGAGTTTATTTCCTGCAGAGACTGATCTCATATTCTGTTCAGGATGACTGCAGCTGCTTCTGTGCGGAACAGTTACACAAAATGCTAACAATACAATCAAATTAATTATTAACATCAAAAATTTAAATGATATTATAAATACTTTTTAATCTCCATCTAAACAACATCAGTGCTCAGATTTCGGGAGGGAGCTTTGTAAGTCATTGATATCAGCGCTTATATCCTTGATCCTAGCTCAAATAGATTTTCTATAAAGTACCATTTAAACATATTTTGTTCAAGACATCATATATATGCAAGAATTCAGAAAGAACAATTTTAAGGCTGGGCTAGATCGTGTCCTGATGGAAATCTGTGATCCGCTGGACTCAGTGATGAACATGGCACCAGTGAAGTTTGACATTTGTTCATTTTTCACTGAAGTCCACACAAATTTCCCACTGATTCTTACCTCAGGCGACTTTAAATCATTGATTACCAAATCGCACCAAGAGCTGCGCATCTCTGTGACAGCAAGACTCGGATCTGAACCCTGCCTATGCTTTCAGTGTCGTGTTTACCTAATGTAGGTGTAACAGATATATCATCAATTCACAGTGCTTCATAAATACTATGTTGGAGTGTCTTTTGGCCCCATATAACTGCAATGAAGACGTTTCAACACCATTTCAGCAAAAGTTTCTATAAAAATCTGAGCTCTCAGGAGCTGGAGGAAAAGTGTGTGATACTGAATGCATCAGATGGTTCATGTGCAGCTTACCAATTTATTTTGGAACGGATGTAGGTGTTTAGAAGTGTTCACCAAATGTATTTCACCAAAATATTCCTCCAGATAAAGCGAGGAGGTCAGTAAGCCAGAGCCACAATAGAATTAAAAATACTTTGTTTGAAATACTAGCGTTGACTCAAACATCAATATAAAATCCTAACTGAGTAAGGCAGCAGAAATGACATACCTGTTTGTCAGCGGCCCTATGAAGGGGTTAGTGATTAGCTGCACTGTTGCTTTTGAGGCAAACAAGAGACCGACTTGAACATTTTCATTCAGCAGGTCCTTATCTTCCTTAGGGCAATCAGATGGGGAAGGAGTCACATTTACTGTCATTTGTTCTGTCTGAGTATGATGCAACTCTCTGGGTTGTGTCTTATCAGATTCATTTCCAGTAACCATGGTTGAGTTGTCGTAGTAGGAGAAGATGCTCTGAAAATTGTCCATCGCTGGTGAGACTACGTTAGGCTTGGTAGTCTGGATTTCTGTGGCATTTTTCTCATGTTTGATGCTGTAAAGGTAACTGGGAATTATTGGCACTGGAAAAACAAATAGAATATATTGGCATCTTACTATCAGGTTATTTGTAAATGGAATCACCAAATTTTCTTGTTTGCTTTGCCATTGATTAGGAAAAACAGAGGACATTAGTAAGGATTTTGCACGGCGGAAACACAGAACTGAAATAGAAGTTTGCTTATAGGAAAAAACACACCCATAACTCAGAAGTGCAGTTTAAAACAAAGAGATCTTTTACATTAGTCTTTATTTTTTGCCAGTTTTCATAAATATAAGATTTTCTACACAGACATCATTCAGAAAGCAAAATATAAGAAGAATCAAAACCCATGTCTGAAGGTCTCTTTGTTGCACATGACTGCACAAATCCATTTATTAGATTGTGAAAACAAGAAAGATGAGAAAAGCATTGAAACTATTATTAAACCAAAACGTAAAAAATGTTATTACATTTTTCTAAACATACTTCTAAAATAAATGACAAATATATTGTTAAGTAACAGCCATAAGAAGGGAAAAAAAACGTAACATTCCTATATTAAGTAATCAGAACTAATGTGTTGATGTTGGCATATCTCATTATTTTTTTTAAATTTACATTTTCAAATGTAGATTTAGATCTAAACCATCCAGAAGGGGTCTTCTTTATATGCTTTAGTATCTTAGTTGCAATTTAATTACATTAATATGTATCTCAGAAATTAGCATTTCAGAATTTGTAAAAACAGATGTCAGGTTGATTCAATTTAACCTTAGGGACAGAATCACCCCTCCTTGTCTTGCATCTTTTCCTGAAAAAGCCCACTCTTTCAATAAGTCTGCACACTATAATAATTTCTAGGGCTTCTAGCTTACATATTACTGAATAAGTAATTAGATTTTAATAACTTTATATGAAAGTATGTTCATGTAAAAAAAAATCAAAATCGACTTGCTAAAAATGTAAATGTTTTTAGCTAAGGTGGCATCAGCTTTTAAACTGAAGTTCCTCAAGAAATTCAGGAGTCTGATTGAGAAGCTGACACGGCAGCATCGTCCGAGAGCCAGATCTGTGCAGCCCGATTCACTCCCGAGAGAAGCAGGTACATTCATGTGTGTGTGTGCACATCCGTGAACCACCAGTTTCTCTGAACTCTTTTCTTTAAATTCATACAAACATTTGAATATGGGGGCTTCTAAAATTACCAGTGAAAAATGTTCAAGCGTTTTATTTGAGTAGATTCCTGAATCTTGATGCTATGCCACTGAAACCAGTAAAAGTTGCATCTTTGATCAAAACTTGGACTATCTTACTAAACCAATTCACGAAAGTGCTTTTCTTCAAAACCCAGTTAGATCATTTTCTTATTAACCTATCATTTTAAGACCGACTTGGGGGAAAGAAACTATCGCGAGGAAACAGGCATCTCCAATGTTATCTAGCCTGTTGTTTCAGTTGTGTGACCACAGGAGAAAAAACGATGATGAGCTAAAAATACTGTTATCTGTCATTCTGTGAAGTATTAGTGGCGTTTAGTAGAAAAAAAGAATTACGAAGACCTTTTCATACCATTGCTTTTCCTGCAATTAACAGAGAAATAAAGCGAGACTTCGGTGTGTACGGCAGTGCGTTTGCAATACCTAGAACATCATTCGTGTTTTAAAAAAAACAGTGCTTGAAAATGTTTGGCCAAACCCCATTCTACCTACCGACCACGGTAAGCAGCATGTTGTCCAGGAGCAAGGCGATGAACACAATCAGCAGGATGAGTTTCCTGGACTGCCGGCCCTCCCGCAGCCAGCGGAGGATGCTGAGCTCCCCCCAAGCCATGCTCCCCGCCCGGC